AATAATCTCATAATGACTGTTTAATACTTGTTTATCCTGTTTAGTATAAGTTCTTCATATAAGCAATTTAGGCCTATTATCCAAATTTTCATTTTTTTATTTTTAAACATTGTAGTAAATCATTATCTAGATGATTATTTTTCTTTTTCAAATTTCAGAAATTATGGAGGTTATGGAAATTGTTTCATTTTAGAAATTTCAGTAGTTTTAGATTTTTAATCAATGGTGCATAGCATAATAAACATTAATAATATATTCAAATAAATTAGCATTTATAATATCAAATTATTGTAAAATTATTTTCTTCAATATATTTTAATATTCTAAGTTATTCTTATACTTTATAACAGCTGATTGGAAAAATTAAAGCAATTAATATTTAAACTCATTATATAACTAATGGATTACTTATTGTCATTAATATATAAAATTATAGAAAATTTTTCTGATTAGCCAATAATCTATATACTATTTCTTTAAAATTTTTTCTTAAATATATGTTTTTTATACTAAATTAACATATAAAATAACACATGAAATATCTGATTAATCAATATATTTATAATTTTACACTTATTATTTAGAAATAGATCTTTATAAGATATTTTTATTTTTAAAATTAAAAATAAAAATACTAACTTATCCATTTATACATTTCTAAAAAATAATTTAAAATTACTTTTAAATGGAAAGAAATAATTAGTACATATGTGCCGATTTTTGGAATTAATTTAAATTAAGATTTTTATAAAAATTTAATATTTTAGTAAGATTAACATTACACAAATCTAAATTAAATATGTGTTACATATTTACGTAACTCAGATTTAATAAAAAATAAAAAAAAATTTTTTAATCAATATTCAAAAATAACGGTAATAACCACTTCTTTTTCCCCATCACTGCCCATCACTTTTCCATCATTTTTCTATTCACTTTTATTAAATATGACAAAAAAGTTTATAAGCAAATATAGCAGTTATTTTTAAGTAGTAAGTAAAAGAAAAAACTTAATATTTTATATACATAGATAAGACATATTTTTTCATAATTTTTAGCTTTAATTTATTGTTTTTTCTTTGTAAAAAATACATGCAAATAAAAAATAATTATGATGTAAAATAGTTGTAAAATGAATAATAAGATATTCTTTTTTTTTCAAAATAACTAATTATATATTTGTT